GAGAGAGAGATAAAGGGACAGATAGAGAAAGAAGGGGGGAAGAGTAAAGGAGTTGGGGGGAGGGGGGGGAGGGAGATAAAGGGAGTGAGGCGGAGGGAGAAATGGGTACCCGTGTGAGAAGATAGATCGAGAAAAAGAATGTGTGTTTTATAAAATATAAATTTTTTGTGTATGTGTATAAAAACAGCATGTCGTGTGAGTGTCCAACAGTGTGTATTGTGTGCCTGTGTGTACACCAGTGTGTATTCCGTTTGTGTGTGTACAACAGTGTGTATTCCGTGCGTGTGTGTACAACAGTGTGTCTTCTGTGCGTGTGTCCCCAGAGCTGGCCAAGATGGAAGCAGACGAGCTGTACACGCGACTAGTCAAGGAGACCCGAGGTTCTCTGGACGCCGCCGGTCACTCTAGTCAGGTGAGGATTTGTCTGTCTGTCTGTCTGTCTGTGTGTAATTTTGTTGGTTTTTAAAAAAAAATTGATTTGTTTTTTTCTCTGTCTCTGTCCCGAAAGATAATTTTGTTGTTGTTTTTTTCCCTGTGTGTGTACAGAAAGATATTTTGTTTTTAAATTGTTTTATTCTGTTCCGTGTCCAATTTTTTTTTCTAATTTTGTTTTGTCCTCTGTGTCTAGAAAGATTTTTTTTCTTTTCTTTATATAGTTTTGGTTTTTTCTCTATCAGTGTCCAGAAAGATAATTTGTTTAACAAACTGTTCTGTTTTGTTCACTGTCTGTCCAGATAAAATATTTTGTTTTAAAAAAAATTGTTTTTCTCTGTTCTCTGTGTCCAGAAGGAGCGTCCGAGCCCAGCGGAGCGATCAGGCGTGGAGCGTGGCCAGGTGGTGAGTGGGGCGGTGGTGGCGGGGGACAGCTATGAGGAACCCTCGTCCTACCTGAGTGACCACGCCGACGGGGAAGAGGAGGAGGAGGTCGGAGGTCACACGCCAAGGTCGCCGGGCGCCGCCGGGGAGAGCAACGACGAGGATTTCTGAATGATTTACAAACAACGCTCGTCGTGTGACGCGGGATTGGATGGGCGATTCTCGACATGGCGAGAGTAACGACGAAGGATTTCTGAGTGATTCACGGCGCGTGGTTGGATGAGGCAGGAGTCGCGACATGGGATTGGATGAGAGATTCACGACGTTCGCGACGCAGGATTTGGGATGAGACCAGGAATTTTTGTTTTTGTGAAAAATGTTCTGGATGCTTGTTTCTTGTTTGGTTTTCATTTTCCACAAAAATAACCTCGATGATTGCAATGGGTACTTTTTATTTATAAAATTTGTCTTCGACACTTTTAGAAGAACAGCAAGTGGCATCCCGGATTATGTTTTATAGAGGTTTATATATATATCTTTGACTCTTTTAGAAAAATGGCAAGTATTTACATGAAATTGGTAAAATGTTGTCCATGGTTATATTTTACAGCTATGCTACGTCTTTTACAATTTTACAGTTATGATAGCAAGTGGGGAAACATACAAAGGGAACAAAGTGGGAATTATAACTGAAATATTTTTTTAAAATAAGACATTTTCTGACAAAACCATTTTCCTCCTGTAGGCTACCATACCCATATCGGAATTTCCCTATTTTTTTCCTTTACATGGTGAGCTGGGTCTTGGATCTTTTTTGTTGCTTTAACTTTAACCATTCAGCACCTAAAGTGGCGTTGTGTGCGGAGTCTGTCAATTCACACCTAGAGTGGCGTTGCGTCGTGTTTCAATCAAAGAATGCGCGACACTGTCATGGTACACATTTCTATAAGATAAGATAAGATAAGATATACTTTATTATCCCAGAGGGAAATTTTTCTGGGCTGTACAGGACCGTAAAAACACACGCAGGTATACATAAAAATATTAATTTGTACATTGTTTAACTTTTTTTTTACCGAACAACCCTGTCAGCAAATGAACAAAGAGAGTGCCCAAATGGTATTATTATTATATAACTATTATGATAAATGTTATTAGTATTATTACTATTAATGATATTTTTATTATTATTATTATTGTTTTTAATAATATTATTATTATTATTATCATCGTTATCATTATTAATATTATTATTATTTATGTTTTTTAAATTATTACTATTATTATTTTCGGTAAGTTTTCTTTTGGACAAATGATGACGACAACCTTTAGGGACAGTTTTATTATTATTATTATTTGTGTTATCATTATTATTAATATAATTATTTTCGATAATAAGTTTTCTTATAAATGATATAAAAGCTTGGTGCAGTGAGAGTTTTGCTGACAGATGACAACAACATTTAGGGACAGTTTCCTCGGGGACCAGCTGACCTTTTCTTTTGTTTTTCCTTTTTACTCGAAAGTCGGGAGAACCAATCAGACGTCAGTCCCCAGAATTTAAAACCAAACGTGTGACGTATGTTTCCCAGGAAGTAGAGATTGTTTCCGAGTGC